GAGTTACCACAAACTTTGCAATGAGGAAAGGAATCAGCTGGGGGAGTCTGCAGCTGGTGCAGTACATTAGCAGTGTCTTGTAGTTAAGCACAGGAGTCACCATGCTTCGCTGTTCAAGAACAAGGGCTTAGTTAAAAAGAAGGCGGGGGGAAGGGGGAATCCACAAACCGACCCTGGTCTTGTGCTGTTCAGCCTGAGTCGAAGTTTTATTAAAGATTTCCATTCGGCAGAACCATCTAATAAATCTTACTGGTTAACAGTCAGAGGAGGAGGAAGAAAATGCTTTTCTGGTGTCTGTTGGGAATTGCTGGTACTAAATGAGCTTCTCTGGAATTACTGCTGGCACCATCATGCTGCCGCTGTTGCCCCGTGGAGGCTCTCTGTAGCTCATGCCTGTTTGCATGCTGCCTGCATCCTAAGCAAGCAGAATATGGAATTTTTAATCATGCACAGAAACGCATTCGGTATTCTTTTTGCTTGAGGAAAAATAAACCCTTGAAGGGCGTTGCGGGAAGGGAGAATGCTTGCCTGCAAAGGGAGGAATTGCCACTGCTGGAGGGGAGGGATGTCTGTGCAACTCTTTCTGGAAGGAGGTATCCAGCAGAGCAAGGTGTGATCATCCCAGCTCTTCATCCCTGTGTGTTGCTGTCTGCCGCCTCCACCTCCAAAGATCCCACAAAGGAGCAGGGGGATCTGTTCATCTCTGCCAAACCAAGATGGGGTCCATGCGGCAAACAGGATGCACTTACCCGATGTTTGGGAGATGTCAGATACTTCCCTCACACACTGTGTAGATGTTCGAGACCTCTGTGTGAGTGCTCACTGAATTTTAAAATGCTTCAGGCCTATTACGGCTCTTTGTCCATTTGGCACCATCCCTCAAAGGGTTAATTCTAGGTCAACACAAATTTCTTATTGACTTCCATCAGGCTGGGGGGGGGCTTAATCTGAAAATGATGCTCACTTTGCTCTTCTGCTGATTGTGAGCTGGAGACTTGAACCATTTATTTTTTGTTTTTCATTAAAAGTAATTTAACTTGATATTAAACCCATTTGAATGGACCTTTAATTTTACCATGCAGAGAATGCCATCCACATCTCTCTTCCCTGTGCTCAAAGCCATCACGCTCCCTAGTCACTAACATGTAGAAACCGTGCAGATAAAAATGAAAGTGATGCAGTCAAGATTTCTCCCAGCAAATTCGGTATCGAGTAATTCCTGGTGAGAGGAGATCAATAGCATGCAGTTAATTTTTAAGTTGTTTATGTTGCTGCTATTAAAACATGTTTTTTGTGATCCATGCTAATGAGTGGAATGGGGAATTTATAGATTCATAGACTAAGGTCAGAAGGGATCTCTCTGCTTAGTTAATCTGAGTTTGTGTATACGCAGGCCATGGACTTTTCCCCAGGCAGCATCCCTCTTGGAAAAGTATCTAATCTCCTCTTAAAAACACTGAGTGTTGGTGTGTTCACCCCCTCCCTCGCTGGTTCTCTGTTTAATTATCCTGGCTGTTGGGAAAGTGCCTCACTTAAAGGCTGAGATGTGTAACTTGACTTTCTAGACCCTGTAACCTGCTACGCCTTTGTGTGCGAGCCTGAAAGCTTTTCCACTTGGTCCCAGTGATCAAGTCACCTCTCAGCCTTTCTTTGATAAACTCCTTAAATTTCATGTCAAAGATTTGATTTGCAACCCAGGGTCATTTTTGTGGCTTCCCTTTGAACTTCTGCTGATATTTCCACATGTCGATGCACGGACCCAAGACTCGCATTCCTCTCGCCATGCTGTATGCAGCAGCACGCTCTCTTCCCAGCTTCAACTTGTTTTCCTTGCAGTGTTAGGGCTTGTATTATATATCCAATATTGCACTGACCTTTTATCCACTGGCTTGTGAGAAAAGCTCATGTTGTGTAGCTCTGAGTGGCCTCCTTTGTGTCCTCTGAGTGCCTGACTTTCTAAGGGGAGCAGGGCTGCTATGACTGTGCTTCTTCCATGTATTACTTTGCATTTAAAATACCACTGCTAGCTTGAGACCATCTAACTGAGACACGAAGATAACTGACTAAAATAGCTCCTTCTGTAATATTTTTTACCCACTGTTACACCACCTGCAGCCTTTACCGGGGGAGATTTTTCTATTACCTGGATGGTTGGTAGATCTATTAAATAGCATTGAAAAAGAATCAATGCTTGCTACCAGTGGCCTTGCTCAATGATACCTCCTCATTAACAACTACATTTTGAGATCTGTCAGTGAAGCACATTTAATCTCTCTAATGTGTGCCTTGTTAATTCCATATAATACCAGACAAATACCTTGGAGAAATTGCAGCGTATTATAGCATCAGTTGTCTTCAGCAGCAAGGCATGTTTTATTAAAAACCAAAACAAAGAATGCAATTTCCCGCTTCATCCCCCCAAAAAGCAGAAGTCAACAGGTTGGTTTAACAAGACCCATTTTCCAGGAAAGCTCATTGATTGCTGTTCATTATATTATTAGCATCTAGTTATTTGTTGATGAAATCCCAAATTAACCACTCCTGTATTTTGCAGAGGACTAACATGAGGCTAAGTAAGACCACTTAGCCTGACGTTGGTACTTCGCAAAATTAATTGCTGCACTAAAATGCTCCCTTTCACATTTTCAAAATATGGAAACACTTTGGCACTGTCCTGATCCATCCTGAGCTGTAAGAGTTATTAAAAATCAACATTAGTGGTTCAATCAGCTTCTCAGCGAAGCCTCTAAAGACACCTGTGTCTAAGAGAGCCAGGCTGCCTTATCTGAGGACTTCATTTCTGAGTTCACACCTATCCTTGTTGCTAACAGTGACTGCTTTTGGACCCTTGCAGCAGAACATAGAACCAAACCATCTTCCTCCCTTCCAAACCCAGATCAGAAATAGTCAGCCAGTTGGGCTGTGTTACACTTTGCTGTCTCATCAGCAATGGTTTTATAACAGATCAAAATCACAAATTTGATCCCCAAAGATTTAAAGTGCCTTTCTTTTTACTCCTATGAGCCCTTAGTACTTCACTGGTTCTACCAGGCTCCTGTAGCAGCAGCCAGTTTCTAACCTATCTGTTACTGCTAACCTCCCATCATCTTTCCTATTTCCATACAAACTGATTTATTTATTTTCTGTCATAGGTTTTACATATCCTTTTGGCTGAAACATTTTTCCTTGATCATTTCCCAGCACATTTAACAATTTTTGAAACTGTGCCTCTTCTGGCATCCTGTTGGGAGGTATGAACTATTCCTTTTTTCGGTAGCTACCCCACTATAGCTTAGGCTTCAGAAAAAAAGTAATCTGAAAGTTTACTAACAGGTGTCACACTCTACTTAAGCAAAACCAGTTTATTACAGTGCCACAGCAGCAGCTAGTATTGAGGTCACTGGTTAGTCTCCTTGGTCCATCACAAGGTATCTCACTGATTCCCTGCTGCAGGGTGCAAAGTTCCCTTCACATTAGAAACCCTGGGAAGTTTTAATGTGAGATGCTCAGCCAACAGCTCCGGGTTGAAATCACCCATGCAATTTCTTTTATGGTATATTCCAGATAATTCGTTAGCAGATTTTTGTTACATTTCACAAAACAGAGATGTTCTAAGAGCTGCTCAACCCTCTCTGCAGGAAGACACAGGAACGTATCAAACCTACAAGACCCCCACATTTCATTTGACTGGTTGGGGCTCTGATCCTGAGCTGCATTGTACACTTCAGTTAGGTTTTCAGGAGATAAATATCATTAGCAGTTGCCTGAACACTGCAGGCTTTGCCTCCTGCTAGAGTGGAGGGACAAGGAAGACTTGTCCTTACTGCAGGGTCTAAGCACATGGAGCTGGCTGCTTGGACCCCTTTACTTTAAAATAAAATCTGCTCCAGCAGCCAAGAGAGGGCGCTCCTTAAATTAATAAAAGAAAGGGAAAAAACCCAAACCACACAGCAAAAACAGAAAAACTGAGCACGCTTTCTTAAAAGGAATTTTCTCATCTGCACCATAGTGAATGGTTTAATGCAACAAGCTAAAACATGAAGGTGTTTTTCGACCATGGGATGGGGGCTAGGGACACCCCTGGGGGAAGGAGCAGAGCTGTGAGCTGAATGATTGGGAGATGCTGGTCTGTTGTGGGACCAGCTGCTGCCCCATCTGCTGTTCCTCCCAACCCTGCAAGTGTTTTGCCTGGGCACATGCCTGGCACAACCTCTCTGTCCTAGTTTTGCTCATTGCCCTGAGACGCGTTGCATCAAATACTAGTAACAAACCCTCACCCAGTGTCTGCAGCAGCATTTGTGGACCAGTGATGGCTTTTCCCTGTGGAACCGATAGCTCAGCCAGTTCCCGCTGCGGGATCTGCTCTGCATGGGGCTGGTGCTGAATAAAGCCTGAAACAAGCCTGTCTGATTGCCTGAAACAGCCATGAGTACTTTTTAAAAGGCCTTTAAGTTCTGCCAGTACCTGCGATGGGTGCTAGGCTTTATTTTTGTCAGCCGAATTGGGAAGTTTCTTAAACCTGTGACCAGGATTGGGGAAGCAAGCCCTAAAAGCTACCGAAAGAATGTAATAAATAACTAATATCTGTGTGTGGTGCTTACTTGGTGGCTTTTTCTTTCAAGGATCTTTTAGCTGTTTTTTGTCAAAACCACGTTCCACATTATAGTGGTCTCTCCTACAGTGGGAATTTATCATCCTCTGGTTGCAAAGGCAAACTGAGGAAGACAGTGTTCCTGTAGTCACTGGAGGAACCCAACACATGTCCCTCCCCGTGATCCATCACACCTGAACTTGAAGAGACACATGAACCATAGTAGGGTCCTGGATGCACACTTTGGGGAATGCTGCATCCCTGAACAAGTACAAAAAAGAGATTAGGAAAGCCCCCCGATGATCCACACCTCCCTTCCCCTCTCCCCTTCACTGTTAGGTCGTATTAGCTTATTTATCAGCAGAAAATGTTAAGGCACCGATAATTCAGTTTTAATGGTTTTTCTCACCTGCAGAACTGCCTGGAGTGGTTCATGTTGGGACCTGCTTTAATATTGCCTTTCTCTGGGTCATAGATGGTGGTTGCTCGTGCATACGCTCCTCCAAGAATAAAGATGAACCCATTGAGAGTGACTGCAGGAGCGTATTTGTTATCTGTCAATGGAAAGCAACACTGAGATCAGTTTTAGGCTCAGGTTTGGAGACTGGTTTTTTATTTATACATTCCCCTTATTTATAGATAAGTCACATTTTTCAAAACCTCCAAGGCTAGGGAAAG